CCTTAGGATGCTGTCGGCTAAGTTTGTTACGTTTGAACTGAGAAAATGCATGACTTTGGTTTTTTTTTTCTCTGTTTCTTTTACATTTATGAATGCGGCAAAGGGATTCAAAAAACCGTGTTCTTGTATCAATTCCGGTTACTTTAACCTGATTTACTCTGATTGTCAATTGAATGCATTCCCATATCATATAGTATGCTGCATTCCCACTTCACTCGTTTTTTTTATTTTTTGTTTATAGCATAAAGGTATAGATAGCTTCCGATAACACGGAAAAGCTATTTTGCATGTTGTCAGCCTCCTCAAACCAAACCAAACGCTGCCTAACCAAATCCACCCTCCCAAAACCAAGTGCTTCCCTTTTCAAAAACAAATAACAGGAAAAAAAATATATAGAAAAAGTCAATTCACTTTTCTAATTGTTTTTCATAGTAATTAATAACTTAACCCTCCCTGAACGCGAAGGTGTCTACTTCTAATAACAAGTCAACAATTTCATATGCAATGCAAGAAAATTTCTTCCTTATTTAGTCTATTCAGTCCGAAGCCAAATGTATAATTCCTCCAATTCAGTAGTTAACAATATTTATCGTCATTCCTAGAAGTCAGCAATTTGCTAGACCCTATAAGTCAACAATATTTATCTTCATTCCTCAGTGCATGACAACTTGCCTCCGTTTTTCAAAATACCATTTTTTTTTTCTTGTGTCCTCCCAAACCTTCTAATGGTTGACAACCAAGTTAATCGCATTAAGGCATCTTTTGCTTATTGCTATGACATGAAGTTTGGCTAGCAAAAAAAGGCTTATAAAGAAGGGCATTGGTGTCCTCCCCATCACTAATTTGATGCACCCAATTCCTTTGATAAATGATTTTTAAAATACTAGCTAATGTCAAATAATAACACATACACATTACTATATCCACATTATGAGTATGAAATATATAGATATATAAATAATGTTGCCTATTGTATAGATCTCTCAATAGTTTATGCCATTCGAACAGGGTCTCGATCCAAGGTCCACAGCCAATTTGTTCGACAACTCCGTATGCATTGGGGAGAAGACGGTGAATAACGAAGAATGTTTCGTACTAAAACTCGAAGCTGATTTCACTTCACTCCGAACAAGAAGTAGCAGCAACGTAGAGATTATTCGCCACACGGTGTGGGGCTATTTCAGCCAGAGAACGGGTCTCTTGGTCCAGTTAGAAGACTCTCACTTGCTCAAACTCAAATCCTCAACAAGTGACGCCATATTCTGGGAAACCAACATGGAGTCTCTAATACAGGACTACAAAACCGTGGATGGCATTAACATAGCACACGCGGGGAAGACTTGGGTGACATTGTCAAGGTTCGGTGAAGGCCCTGAGAGCCATTCCAGGACCAGAATAAACGAGGTTTGGAAAATTGAAGAAGTGGATTTCAACATCAAAGGGTTGTCCATGGATTGCTTCCTACCCCCTAGTGATTTGAAGAGAGAGGAAGAGAAGGGCTTAGCAGAGTGTGGGGTGGCTACAAACAATGCAAAGTTGCCCCATAAGATTCAATCTGCTTCTTTTAAGATCAGTGTTTCCAAAGTAGCTGCGGTTAACGTGGATGATTCAAGTGTAAGTGATCAAAGTGATCATGATGATGACGACGAAGAAGTGTGAATCTGAGCCTTCCATTTTGTATGACCATCCATCCCATGTTCCCATTTCAGGGGCTTGTAGGGGATATATGGTATATGTTAAGTGACTTAATTCCTTCACTTCAAGGTGATTTTCTTGCTACAAATGTAGAACGTAAAATTTATAACGCTCATTGGAAACTTGATGTAAATAAAAAAAAAATAAAAAGTGTAAATCCTAGGATAATCTAAGGGTATGTTGTGATCAAGTCAAACGTAACTTGATCTAGAATTTAGTTTGATGCTCAAGTCGAATTCATTGGGTGTAAACGCGTTAATTGAGATTTATCTTCAAGTAAAAAAGGACTTTTGATGCTATCTTACATTAATTGGAAGGGGAAAAAATGATGCAGAAGGTTTTCTTCTAATACCATGATAACCTACCAGATTTGAATGTCTTAGTAGCCAATCTTTTTCTCTCTGATGTAATTCCAAGTCTCCATATTTGTAGATGATCTACATAGATCCTATTGGTAATTTTAAAAACTTATATCGCCCATATACTGTTGCAGTTGCAGAACTCTTAACTAGAATATTAAGAATGTTGTGTTGATTAATTGGTGACTAGTATCTTGTATATTTGAGTAGCTGTCTCCCTTTGAGGAAAGACAAATGACGGGCTTTTTTCTTCTGCATCTGCCTATAATTTGTATGTGAAATAGGTATCATCCTAGAGTTCCCCTTCATAACGCCATTTGGCCTTGGAAGGGTGCAGACAGGATTGAGATCATTCCCTGGAAGATTGCTAAAAATGGTTTGCTTACTAACAAAGCTTGCTTCTCTGGGAAGCTTGATTGTTCGAGATATGTCTCATGCACCATGAAACTACACTTTATGTGTTCTGCTAATTCTGTGGTTGAGAGACTTGTGGTCAAATGCAGAAATGTCTAAATAGTAAATACTTATCCCGATAGGACTGAAATGAGAGATTTAGATAAAGCAACAACAGTTTATTGATACATAGGGAAAATCTTACAATAAGCAGTGGAATTTAAAATCCAGACATGACCACAATACATAAGGTGACATAAACACACAGAAGACACGATACTTGTTTAGAAGGCGGAACATGGATGCGGCAAGGGAACAAAAGATCTAACCAGAGATTTGAATAGACTTGACCTCAGGCTTCTTCTGTTCTTCCTTAGGAACAGTAACAGTTAGCACCCCATTCTCCATGGCAGCCTTAACCTGATCCATTTTGGCATTCTCGGGAAGCCTGAACCTTCTGACGAACTTGCCACTGCTTCTTTCAACGCGGTGCCATTTATCATCCTTCTCTTCCTTCTCTCGGCTCCTCTCTCCACTAATCTGCAGAATGCTTCCATCTTCCACTTCCACCTTCACCTCCTCCTTCTTCAGCCCAGGAAGGTCCACGTTGAACACGTGCGCCTCCGCCGTCTCCTTCCAGTCGACGCGCGTGTTGGCTATGGCACTGCCTTCACCACCCGAGGAAGGCGCGTTCCCAAGAAACCCCACGAAAGGGTCCCATACGTCAAGAGAAAAAGGGTCGAACACGTTGCTTCGTCGACCACCCAAGAGGCTCGGAATAAGAGACATGCTACTGAGATGTTATTTCGATCAATGCTTCTTCAGTTCTATGCTCTCTTCACAAGCACACGTAGCTTTATATACCCAACAAAATCAACTCTCTAGTGTTTTCCAGGATTTTCTTATGACACGTAACACGTTGCTTTCTATAACTTTCTACGTCTTTCCACTAAACTCTCTTTGCTTCCCATCATTTTTCATCCTCAACATTTATATACTAATATCTCATTATGAGTTGGTATTATATAACTAAAATTAGTTAATTAATAGCTAAAAAATACTTTTTATTAATGTGTTTAATTAAACTAAAAAAACAAAATGAGGGCACACCACCTCCACGCCTCTCATCTAAACATTTGTGTCTGATGTGGCGTTCAGTGGCAAAACGAATGAATGAGGTGTTGCAATGGTGGCACTGAGTGTTGATGCCACGTCCCAAAGGTCGTTTTCATCCATCACAACATGTTTGTTCACTCAGCTCCCAAGGAATCGTGATTTATAATATCATTGTATTAAGTTCTGATCATGAAATGGAAAATTTTTGCTACCTTTTTCCATTGAAATCTTACTTTACGTACACAAAATTTTATTGTTCCTAATCAATTGTTTTTAAATGATTTTATTTTAAAATGTAGAAATATATATCTTTATCAATAATTTATTTAAACTTTATATTTGTATTTTAATATTTGTTTCGTTATTAATTAGTTTAACGTTCAAACTTTAAAACAATAAATTTATATACAAATGTAAATATTTCTTTTACAAGTTTTTAATTAGAATAAGAAAAATTATAAAATATTTGACAAGTCTATGTGGATATAACACTTGTATTTCAAATATTCTATAGTAGATTTGGTAGGCTTACCAGAAAATTAAATACCAATATTTTATATTTAGAAAACATGATTTTCACTAATCAAGTATTTTTTTATATTGTAATGACATGATTAAACTTATTTTTTATATTGTGAGAATCAATCCTAGCACTAGGTCAACCCATTATCATGTAAGTAATTAATTTAAACATCTTTTAATTTACATAGTGTTTGGTTAAAGAGGAATGGATGGCAAGGAAGACAAAAAAAAAATCATTTGATTTATTTTTTAGGAAGTTATGATAGTGAGATCGTAGCTAGTTTTAGCCCTCACTTCAACATTGAGAGAATTTGGAGGGAAAAGATGAATTATAAAACATTGTTAATATAATGTCCAAAATATCTGTTGATTTTAAAAGTCTTTCTTCCTTCTTTATGAATAAGAAAACATTTACTTTTTTCTTAATTAAACAAAATATCTTACTCCTCTTCTTCCCTTCCCTTCATTAAAACCTCTCTCATCTTTTAATCAAACAAACCCCTAAACGCTTTTCATTCTTATTTAATGAAAAGAAGCCACAGAAACTGATAAAGTCAAGTGGATAGACACATGGGCATGGCTATGCATGATAATCTCAATTACGTAGATTTATCTTCTTCTTTTTTTCCTTATCTGATTGACACACATCAACTTTGATTCGGATTTTGGAGCCTAGCCATTCTCCATTGGGATGTTCCCCATGATTATTCTTCACCTATCTATTTCTCTCCCACAAAACAAAAGTTTAGACTTTAGAGGCTTCTACACAATGTTTCCGAATAGATAAGAGGATTCGAGAATGAGGGCCTTCTTCTTCTTTACAATTAAATAATACTGTAAAATGGCTGTTTAATTAAATTATTTTCTGAGGTGAACTAGAAAGATAGAATTAGAATTTACACATTTAAAAATAAATATGACAACCTATTGGATGGAAAGAATTAAATAACTTTTGTATACGTAAAGAAACATGTTAATCGAGGAAGGAGACAAAAAATTCCATTTCATGAATGCTATGATTTTATAAATCAGATGTTATGAGTTATGAGTTACCTTTCATTAACGGAAAAAGGCAGTCTCTGTTATTAAACAAAAATGTTATTTAAAAGTGTGTTTTTCTTTTTAAAAAAATTAATAAAAAATAAAAGTAAAATAAGATAATTATTTAAAAGGTGTAAGTAATTTATAATTTATAAAAAAACAATTTAAATGTAAAATTACCACTAAAATATATACCCAAAAAAGTCCTACTACTTTTATCATAACTTTTGCTACTGAACGCCACATCATACCCAAATGTTTAATTGAGATTCGTTTAGCTAAAAAAACAAAAAACGCCACATCATATATACGTTATATATGATTTAGCCCTTATATTTCCATTTTACAATAGTTCTACATTCTCACCAATTTAACAAGAAACAAAAGCAATTAAAACATAAAATGAAATTTTATATATATAAATTAGAAGAACGTAGAATTTTTAACATAGAGAATAAACAAAACAAAAATGAATAGAGGTATAAGAAACAAATAATTGATTAAAGCATAGATTTGTGATAACAGAAACAGACTTTCATTTGGGATCGATTAGCACTCACATGCCTGCCTTCGCAATTCCACGGGCTAACCCAGAATTAGTGTCTCTTAGTTGGGTTTTTCTTTCTGGGCCATAGGCTTAGGCCCTCCTCTGTACAGAAAATCAGGGCCCATAAAAAATTTAAATTAAAACGATTAAAGAAGTGTAATAACAGCGCGAATTAATTTATCTATCTTCAACCTTAGGAGTCTTTGCCATTTCTTTTGGGCCCTTCGGGGCCTATGATCCATTGTTCTGTTGAAAAAGATATATAATACGACCCACAAAAATTAAAATATTTTTTTAAAATTAAATCTAGGAGCATAATATTAATATGTGAGTTGGATAAAATTCAAACTGAATTATAAGGGAGGCGGAAAAAGATAATTATTAATCTATTTATTTTTTCTAAATCGTTAAAGTTTTATTTAAAAAGATAATAAAAAATTGTCCATTTTATCTATTAAATTCTTTTATGTATAAATCTCTAGTCATTCATTTAAAGCATATTTTATATTTTATAAAAAGTATACTTAATCCAATTATATTATAATTTAGTATGTTAAAATTATATACGTATAATAACTAAACTACTGACTTTGTATTACTACTTTTCATGAATTATCAAGATGTTAGATTAATGTCTAAAATCTTTAAGTTCAAATCTTATTGTCATCATTGTCAAAAATGTATTAAAAAATAGTTTTTACAGTTAATTGAAATATAACATTTTAAATATATTTTTTAATGAGAGAAATTTTAAAAATTATTTTTATCTATCATATATTTGAACTTGTATTTTTATTTATTCAAAAAATATTTATACAAATTTTAAATATAATTTTATTATATATATATATATATAAATTATAATAGTTATGCTGAAGTGTTATATTCATTTATCTATTATCTTTTTTGGGTATTAATTTATCTATCATTTAAGAATTGATGTTAAAGGTTTTTTCTTTCAAATCATCGTCCATGGGAAATAAATTGCAATACTTATTATCATTTAATTAAAATATATATCTATGAAATAATACATATATAAAATATTTTGAGAAAGCATTGAAAAAATTAATAAAAAAATATAACATGTTGATTCTGTTTTTATTAATTTAATTGAAATATATTGATACTATAAAAAAAAATTAATTTGCTTTCATTTGTTTAAATTTTAAAAATAAATATCTGTAAACAAGTGCTTTTTTTGAAAAAGTAATTATTTAAGTAGATAAAAGTTGTTTATTAAAAGAATAAAATTATTTATTAAAAAATTGAAAAACATTTTAAAAGCGTAAAAAAAATATTAAAAATAATAACAATTTAAAAAGAAACAAACGAACTCATAAATTATCAATTATCATATCATTGTTGACATTTTATAATATTTATTTCAAAAATCATATGTAGATAGATTTCCATTCTGTCAACGGTGCCATAATCTTTATACCGACTGTTCAGAAAAATTTGTCAATTTTGAATCTAAGCATAAATCACTGTAAGTGATAATAGACAAGAAGAAAAAAATGTATAAATATTTAAAATTAATCAGGGAAAAATGTATTTTCAAAAATAAAAATATTTAATTAATCTAAATTTTACTACGTACATCCAAAATCTTAGATTAGTGAGAGACAATTTTTAAAAAAAAAATTAATAATCATCACCATTATATATATATATATATATATATATATAATAATTATTGAATTTAATATATAAAATTAGAGACATAAAATATAATATTTTTAAATATCTATTAATGATTAGATTAAAGTGAAAGAATGAGTGCATTTATCCACCATAACTATAATGCAGGTTTGTCACCGAGAATCCAATTAAAATTTAAAATAAAACAAGAATGATTACCAATTTATTAAAAAAAAAAATAACAATATTATCAGGGATTATATAGAGTGAGAAAATTACTTATTTTTTTATCTTTATTTTATCTGTGTTTTACATCAAATTTTAACAATTCAATCATTAAATTAAAAATTTTTAATATATGGATCAAGTTTGGAAAATTTTAAAAATTATTTGATATTTCATTATATAAAATTAAATTAATATATAAAATATTTTTAGAATTATTCATCAATTTAAATTAATAAAATGAAGTATCAAACAGTTTTTCAAATTTTTAAAAATTTACAAATTTATGCATTAAAAACTTTTAATTCAATAAGTGGATCGTTAAATTTTTTTGTAGAACATGAGTTATTGATTCGAGTAAGTCAATTCCTCTTCTTGTTATATATAATTCAATTTTATATATATTTATATACATGTATATATATATATATATACACATATGTGCGTGTGTGAGGAGAGATCCATTTACTCTAAGAGTAAACATACCTAAACTTATTTTGTTTAATAATTCATACTCTATATCAAATATCAACAATTCCAACCGTTGAGTTAATAAAGCGAAGTATCAAATAATTTTTAAATTTTTTAAAATTTTGCAGATTTAATCTGTGTATTAAGAACTTTAAATTCAACGGTTGAATCGTTGAGATTTGAAATAGAGCATGAATTATTAAACGAAGTAAGTATATGTAAAATTATTACTCCTAAAATAAACGGATATATATATATACACACAAAAGAAGAAGAGATCTATTTATCCCAAAAGTAAGTCTTTTCTGTTCTGCATCAAAGTTAAACC